CTTCTGGCTGATGGAAGTGGGCAGATTCATATTTGGGTGAGTGTGGAAGGGCAGGTTTGTGCTCTTTGAGGTAAGGCCATCCAGAAACTACAAAAACTAACCCTAGAGAACTCTCTTAGAGAAGAGCTGCCACTTGGAATCAAAAGTGGTGAATTCTGAGACCTCTGAAGCTGAGGAATGCAAGATCTCCCCTTCTTTTCCGTGTGTAACTTAGAAAACAAAACCCAGGACTTTGCAGGTGCTGCTGAATCAAAAACTGGAGCCACCAATCATTCTTCAATCACCACACTTCCATTTTGAAATATTTGCTTTCTGTTGCCTTGTCTATATAAACATCCATTAAATCTGCCTGTGCACAGCCAGATTCCTCTGGAACTCTGCTCTTGCCCAACCTTTTATCTTTGCCTGCTGCATTGGAGATGTTCTGGTTGGTTGTGCAGGATCGGGGGCGAGTCCTTGGCGGTGGCCCAGAACACGTATGCAGTGAGCTGGTTCAAGGGCAAGGAGCTGAACCTGGTGTTTGGATTGCAGCTCAGCATGGCCAGAATTGTGAGTTTGCACAGCTGGGAATGGAGAGAGGAGCTGGGCTCCTCATTTCATAGCTCATTTTGGGGGTTTTTAACCAGTGCAGCTGCTCCCAGCTGGGGCTGGGGGATGTTCACCAGTGCTCAGCTGGTGGCAGCCTTGGGATTGCAGCCATGGGTCATTCTCTGGGGACAAAAGGAGGGGAAAATGGGATTTTTTTCCTGGTGCTTGTCAGCTGGGAATCCTGTTTGGCCAAATATGTTAAATTCAGCTCCGTTTCTGAGCTTGTGCATGTGGGTTTATTCATTTCTCATAAGTGAGAGCTCTCCCAGCCTTGTGTAAAATTTCAGTTTGTGATGTTGCAATGATTCATTTGTTACCAGCCCAGCAGGGAATCATTGGGCTCTGCTGGTCCCAGCACCCTCGGCCTGGCTCTGCTCATAGGTCAGTGATGGCTTGACTTGTGTCATCTGCGTGTGTGTTCATTATTAACCACTTAATAGCATTTATTGACCATGTAAAAACATTTATTAACCACTTAAAAGCATTTATTA